TTTTTTATCTTTGTTAAAGTTGTCATTGAATTTATCTATACTTCCCCTAAGTTCAGTGTTTTGAACTCTGCATCTGTGAGATCACTTGGCTCCATTTTTCCTTGATCTCTGTTCTGTTCTTTCATCTGGTTTCTGCTTCTTTGTTTTCCCATTTTGGCTGCCTTTTTGTGTCTGTTTCTATGTACTAATCAAAGCTCCTAAGTCTCCCAGTCTTATCAGCATGGCTTTGTGTAGTAGGTGTCCAGTGGCACAGTCCTGAGGGGTTCAGCTGCTGGCCAAGTTTAGCTCCAACCTGTGACCCTCTGGGGCCACCTGTTAAGATTCAGCAAGCAATCAAAAGATGCTATGCTTATAGTTGCCTCAAGAGGCCATGCCGGAAGCCGAGGCCAGCTGCCACCAGTGTGCATCTTGGCTCTGCTAAGCAAGGTGCACCAGATTTGCTGAAGACACAACTGGATGTGGGTCATGAGTTGGGGGAGGTGGAGTTTCAGGGAATCCTCTGGGAAGAGTGACCTCTGTTTTCCAATTTGATGATGTCTCAGCTATGGTGGCATGCGTCTGCACACAGGGAGTGGGGAGGGCTCAACAGAGGAACAATGGATACTGCCAGCACTGCTGCCAGGGAGAAAGCCTCACCTCTGGCCCTTGCTCAGACAACTCAGTGTCCCCCTGAAAGTCCCTGGTCCCCCCACCCTCTCCCCAAGCAGCCGACCCAGTGCTGGTGCTCACAGCAAGCAGGTCCATCACCACAAAAGTCCGCTCGCAGACACGGCCTCTTTAAGAGGCGTCTGCAGCTGCCAGCTGCTGCTGCCGTAGCCTTGATCCCACTTAGCTGCTCTGGACTGGGCAGCATTGTGTCTTTGCCTCCTCCTACTGTTTACCATTGCAGGTTGATTAATTATTTCTCTTCCTAGTTGTAGTACTTCTGTTTGTCTAGGTCCTTGGTGACTTTGCTTGCTGTTTGCTCCGTGTTTCTGTCACAACTTCAGTTTGGTTATAAGAAGGATGAAAAGAGCCTCTATCATTTATGGCATTGTTTTTCACTTTTTTCTATATATTAATGGTATCTTTGAACAGAAACTTTTGGCTTTGATGTTTAATTTACGATTTTTTTCTTTTAGGATTATTTCCGTGGCCTGAGAAATCTTCGCGTTCCCTTGAGTTATAAAAATATTCTTCTGTGTTTTCCTCTAAAAGCTTTATAATTCTAGCTTTCACGTTTAGGTTTGTGATTTAGCTCAAATTATGTTCCTATGTGATTTGAGATTGGGTTCAAGGATTTGTTTTTTAAAACCAATTCTTAGGCGTTATTTACACAGGAAGTACCACGTAGCAAGGGTAAACAAATACGAGTGTAGCTGCTGGGTTTTCTTTTTAAACAGCTTGTAAGTGTGCTGCTGGGTCAGGCCACAATGGACAGAACTTAACCATGTATGATTCTTGCCTCTGTTCTTGCCTGCTGTCAGAGATCATGTATCAAATACCCACCATGTGCCATTCCTCAGGCACATGCATGGCACATGAGGTAGCCAAGACCCGCTTGCCAGAAAGTCAAACTGTGAAGGGGGCTACAAGCATGTGGTGCATGAATGTGGAAAGAGCAGAGTGAACACGACCTGCTGGTAGTCCTCCCAGGGGGAGGGATTTTTGAGCTGAAACTGGAAGGAATTGATGGAAGATGGGGTAAGAATAGGGTTCTGGGCAGATTGCTGCCAGGGCCTGGAGGTCGGGGAGGAGACATGAAAACTTAGAACAGCCCTGAGTGGTACCTGCCTTCTCCTACAGGATTGATACTGTAAATGTTGGAAAGAGAAGGTGCCTTGGTGACTGGCATGTTCCTTTCTGGGTTTCTTTTCAAGACTCAGTGGGGCCATTGCCAAAATGCCTGTGTTATATCTGCTTGACCAGTTGCAACTTCTTGAATAGGTTTCTACAATTAATCTAAATATTTTATTTCACAGAAGAAACTTATTTCTTTCGACTGCCAAGGAGAAAGAACCTAGGAGAGCCCATGAGGTGCTTTTTGAAAGCCCTGAATATATTCCTTGCTGTTCTCTTCAGGCTCTCAGTTTCCCTAAGTGCTGTTGGCTTTTGCTGACTTCTCTCCTGGACCCTCAGCCTGATAGCTGCATGTTCCAACAGAGTTCCTCTCTTTAGTGACTGCCATCCTGCAAGTCTCTCAGTCTCATTCTATGGAACTAGGGTCTCTTTCCTCAGAGCTTCTGAGCATTGCTGGAAAGTCCTGACATTGAGCTAGCTGGGCCTATTTGGGCCTCTCTCCTCAGCATCACTACTACTGGAACAAAGCCTATAGTCTTTTCGTATTGCCCCTTTAGCACACTTGCTAGAGTGCTCTGTACGTACTTTGAACCTTGCTTCCAGCATTTTCCCGCATCTCTACTTTCTCTCTCTAGAGGCCTTTATGCTCTGGGTTGAGGCCATCAAACTGGTGTTGCTCAGACTCTCATCTCCCCTTTCAAATTGTCTCTATACCCCCATCCACTTTTCCTCCACAATCGTATCTCTTTTGTAGTTCAGGCTTTGGCTCCATCATCTATTTTTGCTCATCAAAGCATCCCTATCTGCTAATCTGCTCTTCTACTGACACATATCTGATCTCATTTCTTTTAACCACTACCCCATGATGATAATACATAGTTAACAACTCTTGTACTTATTTCCTAGGTAATTTCTTGAGTTCCTGTTTGTCTTTTCTTGTTGCTTTTGCAACCAGAGTTTACAGCATGGTGGTCTCACTCTCTTCCTCCACTTCTTCAGCAGCATCCATTCCGTGGTTCCAACCCAACCACTACTAAAGTTGCTTTCTAGTTACCAAATGAGACACATCTTTTTCTCAGCCCTCATGCCTTTTGATTTTTCTGTGGCATTTAACTATTGAATAGTTAACATTGTTTCTTTATTTGACCTGTCACTGAATATTCTTCTTTTTGTCAGTTTTGTTTTTTTCCCACTGGAACTTCTTTGTTTTTCTTCCTAAATATGATATTCTTGAAGGTTTGGCCTTGTTTTCATTCCTTTTTCTGCTCAGCAACTTCATTCATATTTTTATGGCTTTGTGTTATTCTAGGTATTTTCCAAATGCGTGATTCCTACACATCACCATTTTCAACAGTCTGTGGACATTTCTACAAGAATTCCCTCCTCCCTTTCTTTCCCTTCGCTCCCCTTTTGTTGACTAACTCATTCATATATTTATCACGCATCCCCACTCCTCTAACCCAGCACCCTTGATAGACATGGCTAAGCAATCAAGATAGTCTGTCTCACTAAACTTGGTTTTGACCTATGAATGTGCTAATTAATATGCAGTGGTGCTAGTTGGTGCATCAGCTGCATCTGTTTGTCATATTTGTACCAGATGGTCTTTAAGGTTGATTGTTCTCCTCACATATTGAACAATGTGAGAAATCCATATAACTCCAGCTTATGTTCTGCGCATGATATTAGGGAACTGAGCAGGGATTCTAATACCACGGGCAGAATATAAGCTGGAGTTATATGGATTTCTCACATTGTTCTGATTTTTTAAAGATATATATATATATATATGAGGTAGGAAGTGAGAGTCATCTCAAGATTGGCATGAAATATATCGATGTATATTTGAAGTTCATGAAAACATTTTCACTTGTCCTTTTATCTCTGGGTATACTATAAATATGCAAGAACAAATTTTAGTAAATATTTAAAAAATTTATAAGCCATGGCAGGTAGATACATATGCACTTCAGGAAAAAGCACTGGCTTTACCTACCCCTAGGCTAATTGGATTGAGCTGTTCAGGGAGAAGGCCATTCCAGAGACATGGATCCTCTACTGAGTAGATCCTGCCTGTAGGATCTTGGAGTTTTTCTTACTCCAAACACTCTGGGAGCTTTCTAAACTTTGGCATGGAATGATGATCTTTATGACTTGAGGTTTGGTGATCCTAGGCACCCTCCCCTCTTCTAGTACAAGAATGCATTTTCTGCTCTAAATGTTTTCCTCCCTCGCACAGCAGCTGCGACAGGTCACGGGCTCCCAACTCCTGGGAAAAAGGAAAGATGGACTGCAAATCCTTTGAGTCTGAACTTTAAGTTTTAAATCGGATTGTAAATGGTAGTCAGTTATGTGGTAGGTGGCACAGGCCCTGGGGTGAAAGCTGCTGCCGCCAGCTGTGTGACTTTGGGCAGTGACTTGTGTCTCTGGGTCTCTGTGTCCATGTATGTATGCCAAAGCCATTAGGCTGGCTGGTCGATACAGTCCTTCCAGATCCAGTGTTCCACATCCGTTGTTTTCCTGGTTGTTGCTGTGATTGCTTTATCTAATGATATTCTCTTGTTTAGACAGTAATCAAAGTTCTATGGCAAGATTGGAGTTTTTAAAAAGTATTTGTAATTGTGTGTGTGTGTGTGTACACACACACACACACACACACATATATATATCTGTTGGTCTGTATTAGAATAATTTCAGGGTCTACAGGAAAGGAAGGAATGGCCCGCCTTGGAAGATTCTGAGTGTAGCTACGGGGATGGGGAAGGGGCAGGTCTAAGAACTGCCAATGAATTGGGTGCCCTTAGGTTTACCAGAGCAGCCAGAAAATAGAGGAATCCCCTCAAGCCTGGTACCCCATCAAGCCATACAGTATATGGCTGTGATTAAGAGCATGGGCTTTGGAATTGGGAAGAAGGCTTGGGGTTCTAGTCCTGATTTCATCACCCTCTGGCTTGAGGGAGATGACCCTTGAGCAAGATAACCTCTCCTAAATCTAGTTTTCATGTTTGTAAATGGAATAATAATAGTGCTTCCTTCATAGCATTGCTGTGAGAATTAGTTTGGATAATACATAAAACTCAGTCCATGCGGTGTGTAGTAATTTCTCAATAAATACAGCCTATTAGAGTGCTTGCTTTGGACTGAGCTAGGCATTTTATCTCCAGTGTCTAATTTAATCCACATAAGCATACTAAAGCAGTAGAAGTTATTATCCACATATTATGGAGGAGGAAATTGAAGTTCAGAAGTTAACCAAGTCATATTTTTCAACATTACACAAGCAGTCAGTGGCAGAACTGGGATTGGAACTTGATCTTCCTGCCTCCAGAGTTTCTCTACACCAGGTATTCTGCCTCCTGGAGTGGAGGAGAGCTGGCTTTATTTTCCCCACCGGGCTAGGCTCAGGAGGGGATTCCAATGACCGTGGTAAAAACAAGTTATGGGTTTCCACAGGTGCTGTTCAGATTAAGTTCCAAACTACTATTGGAAGTTCATTTGTTTGAAAAGTCCGAAGTTATTTTATGCTAGCTTCTGCTATTCATGATGCCTGTTGGTGGCAGGAAGAGTTGCCATGCTTTTGTTATGATAATCAGCTTTGTTTTTGACCATGAAAATTCTTAACTTGCAAGTTTGTAAGAGGACTGTGCAAGGCAGTACAGAGAAAAAGTGTCCTAAAAGAAATAGTGACATAACGCCATGTATACTCGGAGAAGAAAGAGTCACAGCCAGTAACAGCGTGCAATGGGATCATCAGTTAGCTTCCTAGGGTGCTGATGGTGGTGATGACATTCAAGATGGGCCTTGAAGAAAGGAAAGCGTTTTGGAAAAGTGGAAGTGGCAGGAGGGAGAGCAGTTCCAGGAAGCATTACAGATACATTACAGGTACATAAAACTGAAGCTCAGCTCTGAGGAATGAGGAGATTATGGAAAATTTCTTCAACTAATTTTTCATGACTTTTAATGCTTCTGATTATGTCACAGGAATGCAGGCCATGGAGTCTAAGAAAGAGTCAAATACCATATCAGCCAATAAAAATATTTCTAGGCATCTTTGTCTTTCCTTCAATTGCAGGGAAAACTTCCAGCACCCAAATGCTTAAAATCCTATCTTCAAATTCTAGACCTGCACTTTCCAATAGGAAAGCCACCACCACATGTGGCTATTGAGCACTTGAAATGTGGTAGTCCTAGTTGAGATGTCCTGTCAATGTAAAACATATATTGAAATTTGAAGATGTAGTAAGAAAGTAAAATATCTGACAATATTTTATATTGATAACATGTCAAAATGATAATACTTTGAATATATTGGGTTAAAATGAAAATATTAAAATTAATTTTACCTGCTGCTTTGTACTTTTTCAATGTGGCTACTAGAAACTTTAAAATGACATATGTAGCTCTCATTCATGGCATGCATTCTATTTCTATTGGATTCTGCCAGCCTAGAGGTACTTATTATATCCTTGAAGTTCTGTCATCCATTCTAGGGTTAACTGAGTCACAGATGGTTTGAGCTAGGTTCATGTCAGGAAATGTACCTGATCATTCAGATGTGTTAGAGACCTAGGTTCTGACTATAGCCAGGTCATGTACATTGTTCTTTGAGCTTCAGATATTTCATCTGCATAGTGGGGACATTGGATCAGATATTCTTCATGGTCCCTTAATTTTCAAAATCCATGAATCGAGCTTGGATTCAACTGTTTTACTTTTTCTGGGTTCCGTTGAAAGGTCTTTACTACTCCCTTTACCCTATATCAGAAATAGTCAGGAGTATTTCCCTTTGCATCTGGCGCTTTAATAAATCCTGAAGTGGAAAGATTTTATAGAGAATTCTGATAGATTTAAGTACCTTTCCCTCCCTTTTCCTTTTGCTGCCCGTTGGCCCCAGCTAGGATTGTCTGAGTGTACTCCTCAGCAAGGTGGCCAAGGCAGCTCTTAAAATGATACAAGTATCAGAGGGCTTGAAGAGGTCTCATTTCTTTGGTTCCTGACTGTCAAGACTATTAAATACTCAAAGCATGGTTATTCCATAAACTTTCTTTTGGCATTATTTAGATCCATAAGAACCAAGAATCTGTCTTTTCCTTTTTTGCTCTCCTAATGTTAGAATAATTAATTTTCTTTGTAAATATCTTTCTTTCAGTAGTTCATCTTCATATATAATATCCAACTGTCCATCCACCTTACATTAATATACCAGGCATTGGGCTGACACAGAGATGTCAGACTTGGTCTTTATCCTTGAGGAACTCCTGGATAAAAACCAACAAGGAGAATCCATGGTGCTTGGTAACTTGAGAGAGATATTCAGCGTGTTTGGGTGTAGGTAAGGAAAGGAGGTGACCCCATGAGCAAACTCGGGCAATGAAACATTTACTTTCAAATAAGGTTTTGATATTCTAAAGTGAGACAAGGTTTTGGTTAATTAGCAACAAGTCAAATAAAGTTTGCCCTATATATATTAGATATAATTCCGTTTAATGGAACATAAGTGTCTGGATGCAAGTATGTTCTATACTAAAATCTACCCTCATAATACAAATCACACCATAGTATTTTGCCATTAAATTTATTTTTCTTTTGGAATGAGACTTTATAGTATGTTATAGTTTTTAAAAGTAACAATATGGAAAGGGGTTTATATAAAAAACAAATTTTACTGGTTTAAAAAACAAGGGCACTGGAAAGGGAAAATATTGCTATGTCTGTGGCATTCATTTTACTGCGAGTGCCTGAATCTAAGTTATCGTTAATAAAATCTTGAATTTTCTCTCAGAGTGTGAGTGAATAAAATATATCTGCAGAGGTATTTTTGGTAGCCAACTCTTCTTGGCTTTTGATTTGAGGTTTGTGGGAATACTAAAGTAATAGGCCACTAATTGGCTCAGATTAAATCTCAGATAATTGGACTTATCGTGAGCACAGAAATGGTAATAAAAGCTAATGTTTTTATACTGTAGGAGATGGTTATTTTGTTTACTATGAAACACAACAATTTATCTTGAGTGGACAGAAGATTAAAGCAATCAACTTATGTACCTATGATTAGGAGATACTTTATTATATATATATATTAAATGTAAATACATACTCATCTTTCTATAAAACATCAGCAATGTGCATTTTGAAAAAGGAAAGCTAAACTTTTATCGAGTGTATTTAATACTGTGAAATTCAGATATTCATAGTATAAGGACCAAATATTTGTAGAAGATTTCCTTGAAAGTAATTAGGGAAATCTAAAACATTCACCATGAATCAATAGCACTTTTATAACAAAAAGAAAAAGTAAATGTGACAAGTTTATATCATCTTAAGACTTTTCCAAGACACAAATCTACAAATGAGAAGAAACTAGAGATATCTGTAAAGGTACCTGTTCATACGCAGTTCTATTCAGATGAACAGTACAGGAGTTGGTCATTTTCTCTGGGGGTTGGAGAGTCGAAGAGGTATGCACTAATAACAGTGGTGGCAGCAATGTTTACATAGAGAGCTGAACTTATTAACAGGAGCAGCATCCCAATTGCTGCCTGGAAAATAGCTTTAGATTAGAAGAGTGATGAGTTCTCTGTATGTCTGTTTCTCTTCCGCTTTCTTTCTCTCTCTCTCCCTCCTCCCCTATGCGCTGCCCTGCAGTGCTATGTATTTTAGTTTCCATAATTAAAATCAGTTCAGTGTGAAAAATTTTACAATAATTTTATGCCATTGATTGATATAACTACATTGGGAGTCGCTAATGAAGTTTTGTCAATGTGCTGGTGTCTGATAACTAGAGTCGCCCCGACTTGTTTGTAAGGATTGTATGTGGGTGCAGACATAATTGGTACACTCCTTAGTTTTCAAGAGCTCAAATAGCTGCCCTTTGTTCAGCAGTAAGTGAAATAATAAGGTTCACTTATTACTGTGCATGTAAAATGGAAAAACTCACTATAAAGTATAACTGCAAATGATTACTAATCACCTACTGTATAATGAATCATAGAGTTTGTTTAATCATTCATTTATATACTCAGTCATTTTTGTTCAATAGATGTTTACTGAATGCCTCCCGTGTGCCAGTCAGGATATAAAGTTCTAGGGATATAGCAGTAAATAAGATAGAGAAGGTCCTGAGCTTGATAGATGAGACAGACAATAAACATGCCAATTACAGATAACAATAAGTGATGAGAAAGGCATACACAATGATGAGAGAAACTGAGAGAGAGGAGATGGTGTGGAGTGTACTTTAGGTATGAGATGATTAGTGGAAGTCTTTTCAAGGAGGCAACAATTGCAGTGAGCTCTGAAAAAATAAAGGCGCCAGACTTCCAAAGTGAAAATGGTTTCACATAGTCAGTGGCATTTAGTATACTGAGAATCGAATTTGTTCTGCTATGTGATGCCACTCATGTGCAAGGACGATATTCTGAATTGACCTAGGAACCAATGAGGAAAAACAGTAGTCTGGTCCTAGAGCACAGCCTTGGAGCACCCTGTCAGGTATTCAGCTCTTAATTTTTTGGTGATTGGGAGGTCTCAGGGGAGGATCTGGAGCAGCTGAATTGGTACTCAGAGAGCTTGGGGGCCACAACCATTTTCCTATTATGGTAGGGAAGTATTTAAGAAGCAGTATGACAATGTGCGGTAGCTAAACATCAGCCATGCTTGTGTGTAATTTTGCAGTCTGAAGAATTTTAACAATTAACCGATTGCAGTTGCAGATCATTTAAACAATTCTGGCTACTTTACCTAGTTCAGTAGAGAAAAGGAAGGATTAAATTCCTGTTTTCAGTGCTCACAGTCATGATTTTGTAGTCTGGGTCACATTTTGAGGAGGTAGCGTTATCAAAATGGATATATTCTTCCCAAGAAGTTAATAAACCCAACTTCATATGTTTTTATAGGCGGCATCACTGTCCACATCTCCCTACGAAGATCTACGATACAACAGAGAAACCATGTCTTCTCTCCGAATATACCGAGAACTACCCTCTCTATCACTCTTACCTGCCCAGAGATTCCTTCAAGCCCAAGCTGGAGTACCAGAAAGGGTCCATCCCAATGGAAGGCCTGACCACATCGAGGTGAGGGCAATATTGTGAATATATGAATATTACATTATTGGAGTGATGTACGGTACTAATGTATAACATTAATGTAATAATGTGCAACATTGCATTAATGTGCACTATCGACGTATGCTATTAATGCCTTAATGCTAATCTGCTATATCTCTGAAAGGAAATCCTGCAATTATTAGCCTGTTTGGTTTTTCCTAGTTTCCTCTTAAAAAGAAAGGATTCTTGTTTGGGGATGGAGAATAGGGGGAGGGGAAAGTCTAAATTGATTCTACATCAAAAGGGGCTGGCTCTTAGGTAAAGTAATAGAGGGATGGAAAGAGGGGGATGCTGCTGAAAAGGGAGTTTTGGGCTTTGGCACCTAAGCTCCAGGTTAGCTTGGGTGGTGGTAGCGATGTTGGTAGTGATGAATAAGAACTTGATAATAGAGAAAGAGTGAGCTTTTTTGAAATTATGCTATAGATTTTGACTTGTGATCTCCTTGAATGTTCAAGAGTATGAACAAAGAATATTTTTCTTTTCTTTTTTCTTTTCTTTTCTCTTTTCTTTTCTCTTTTCTTTTCTCTTTCTTTTTCTTTCTTTCTTTCTGTCTGTCTGTCTGTCTGTCTTTCTGTCTGTCTGTCTTTTCTTTTCTTTCTTCTTTCACATTTTATTTATTTATTTTTCCCCTCCCCCCTACTCCCTCCTCTCTTGTAAGAATATTTCCTTTTAAATTACTCTTGCTTTATAAACTCTGATTCTTTAGATCCAGTTCTGTGCAGAGACTGAACCACCTGGCTTAGTGCATTTGGGTGGCAGAGGTACCTGTATTGAGGGGCTGGGGGAAAATGATCAAGCTCAGGATTGTTCTATATGTTGCAAGACTCTAATAGAATCAGCCACTGACAGCTCAGTGACTACCAGGTGGTAAACTGTGACTGGTGACCCGTGACTGGTGACCCAGTGGAGTAGAAACATCTTTGAGCGCAGTTGGGCAGTGTGTCAGATAGTATACCTTAATCTCCAGATGAGACCAGAAAGATGGACACGTTCTTTGCTTGCAATGTTCCTCATCCCTACAAGGCAGGATTCCTGTGAAGTGGAGATGAAATTGTTCCAGCTCAGTGCCTGCACATTATAGGTACGCAAGATCTGGTAAATTTTCTTCCTATTGCTTCTCCTGTGCCTCATAATTCTGTGCTTTTCTAGTAAAGGTCCCAGATGACCCAGGCTAAGCAGAACATCTCCAATTCATTCCGCCCCCAGGTTACTCCTAGGAAATGCCTGGAAACATCCTCTGTTGAGATTGTGGGCTGGAGGCGTGAAGTGTTCCTACTAAAAGCTGCTGTTTTCTAGATCCAAAGGAAGAAGTTCATGTCTGAGTTATGAGGGAGAAATGAAATCAAGGGGGGAACCTTTGAGTGGGGCAGCTTGACAATGAGAGGGCCTTTCTGACGCTTTCTTTAAATCAGGTCACTTTTATGCTAAGCAGTTTTCTTAAAGGATTTGGTTTAACACAAGGTTTCTGGGTCTTGGTTCATGAAAAAATTGTCATTTATGCAACCTGTTTTTCAACCTATTATTAAACAATATGAACCTTAAAGTTTGGGCTTCATTTTACCAAGAAAAGCATTCTTAGTTTCTAAGAGCCTTAAAACCACAACAAGGATGTGGACCTTTTAAGAGCATTGCTTTTTCTTTTAAGAAACCATGGTCAACACTAATGAAGAATCCTTGGCATATGCATAAGAGACATGCCGTTGGTAGAAAAGGATAAGAGCCGTGTTGAGGAATGGCTTCCAAATATCATGTGTAGCTTCTAGATGCTGGTCTTCTCATCTCATTATACCCAGTTTGCAGGAAATCAAGGATGCCTTGTGAATGTAAAGTACAGCACAGCTTCAGATATTGTTGTTATATTAGGGATCTGTTTCCTGTCTGGAAATACAGAAGAGGGTTTTTGAGGGTTGGACGTTGAGGAATGCTTTTTGTTTGTTGCCCACAAGCTTAGGAGAATGAGAAGAAACCCACCCTCTGGGGCACCAGCCCTGCTTTGTCACCTGGCTCTGAGCACCACCCTGACCAGATGCAGCCCCACATGCCCTTCTGCCCCGCTGATGGTGCTTTGCAAAACAAAAACTTCCCCTCTGACCTGTCCTAAATTATTCTTGCCTCTTGTCACTTACAACAATAAACATGTCACCCAGAAGGTCTCTCTGTCCCTGCCAGAGCCAGACTAACAATATCATTCATGTCAAGATGTGGCCAAAGTGTAGGAATGCAGAAACTGAAAGAATTTCCAAAACAAGTTGTTAATGATCATAGGAGCTTTAAAAAGAAAAAGTAGTGGGATCGAGGTTACCCATGAGAAGGATAAAGAGCACAAATACTTCTCTCTTCATTTTTCTTTCCTTCCTCAGAAAGAGAACTAAGGAGAAAATGAGTAGAGGGTACCTTCTCTCCTCTGTACCTCAGTTTCATCATTTCTCAAGCCTGTGCCTGCCAGGCTGGACACTAGTGTTCATGGACTGAGAAAAGAACTATGTCCTTATCAGGATGAATTTTTTTTTTCGCTATCAAAAGGTTAATTATAAACTTTTTAAAAGTTTCATATTTTTATTTCTTTTTCAGTTATAGTTGACATACAATATATTAGTTTCAGATGTACAACACAGTGATTAGACATTTATATAACTTACGAAGTGATCATCCTTATAAATCCAATAGCCATCTGACACCATACATAGTTATTCCAATACTACTGACTATATTCCCTATGCTATACTCTGCATCTCCATGACTATTTTGTTAACTATCAATTTGTACTTTTTAATCCCCTCCCCTCTTCATACATCTCCCTGCCCCCAATCTGGCAACCATCAAAATGCTTTCTGTATCTATGAGCTCGTTTCTGTTTTGTTTGTTTATCCCGTTCTGTAGATTCCACATATAAGTGAAATCACAGGGCATTTGTTTTTCTCTTTCTGACTTATTCCACTTAGCACAATACCCTCTAGGTCTATCCATGTTGTTGCAGATGTCAAGATTTCATTCGTTTTATGGCAGAATAATATTCCATTGTATATATGTACCATCTTTTCTTTATCCATTCATCCACTGATGGACATTCAGATTGCCTCCATATCTTGGCTATTGTAAATAGTGCTGAAATGAACATATGGATTCACATTTCCCTTTGAAGTAGTGTTTTGGGTTTGTTTGAATAACTACCCAGAAGTGGGATTACTGGGTCCTTCTTTGTTTCTTGTTATAGCCTTTGTTTTAAAGTCTACTTTGTCTGGTTTAATATTGCTATCCCAGTTTTTTGTTGCCGTCATTTCCATTTTCATGAAATATCTTTTTCCATCCCTTTACTTTCAGTCTGTGTTTGCCTTTCGATTTGAAGTGAGTCTCTTGTAGGCAGCACATGTAAAGATTTTGTTTTCTAGGATGAATTTTTTTTTGACATTTCAATGAGCTTTTATTGAGATAAATTAACAGAAATCAAGGTTTTACCAACCATCTTTTCTGTACCTTATAAATGCAGCAGAGATTCTGATCTATGTATATGTACAAAACTATTCCCTATCAGGAAATGTAGAGAAGCTGTCATCTGGGTTCCCCATCAGAGGCTTTTGAGGGAAGGGATGGGTCAGCCCTGTGTATGCACACCCTGGTATATGCATGGATTGTCACTCCTCTGCCCTTAGAACCCTTATTACCAGAATGTCCTACCCACTTTCCTGTCTGAAGGCTGACCTGGCTTGGTTTCTGAGGTTGGACGTGGGACTGCCACCTGCTGCATGATAGTCATGTGGCCCAGGGCTTGGCTAAGTTTGGTGATTAAGGCCAGACACAAAAAACACCTGGTTTCTGGAAAGGTTATCATCCCAGCATGAGGCACGATTAGAGCTGCACACAACTCTTACTGACTGTAAATCTTGCGGATTTACAGCGGGTGCCATGAGGGGGAATGCTTGTGATTTTCAGCCCTTTTTAGTATGAAACCGTTTCTTGCAGCCCTTGGTAAATCTTTCATGTAGGATCTGCCTTTAGTTCAGATAGACCTGAGATCACTTTATGAGTAAGAGGTTTGTACTTCAAGCCTCATTTCCCCTTAGGCATGTCACTCTGTAAAACACTTGGGCCCCATTTTGTGACATTATTTCTGTTTGCAAAACCAGATGCCTTAAGATGGGCAAAGTGGATAGCCTCAGAGGAGAGAGAGGAGTCCTCAAGATGGTGTTAGACCTTTATTCTAAATGGAGTGGGACCATGGGCAGGGGGCACTGGAGATGGCATGTGTGGGGAAGATGGAATCAGGTTCTGTCTGGATGAGTTTAGCTGAAAGGCCAACGGCAGAGTTGGCAGCACAGATTGCTTCATTTATTGACAAGACTTATGGGTAAACTGAGGAGATTGAGGGAGGGAAGAACTAAAAGAGAGGGCATTGGGTATCCTCTCCGAAAGACAGGAAAGAAGCCAGAAAGTTGGTAGTGGGCTTGAATTTTACACATTTTCTGTTAAAGTATGTACCTGGCTTCTTTAATCAGAGCTATATCCCAGAGAATATACTTACTCCCTTATGTATACTAGGCCTGAGAATTAAAGAAGGTATGCAGAAATAGGTCTTAGCAATTTCAGAGCCTTTGATGTTGTATGTCTTTGATTAAATTTGGGGACAGTTTGGCCATTATTTTTTCAAGTATTTATTTTTTCTGTCTCTGTCATTTCTTTTCCCCAATCTTTTATTTCTCTTTTCTTTAGATTGAATAGTTTCTATTCATCTATCTTAAAGTTTACTGAGTCTTTCTCCCATCTCCATTCTTGTATTAAGCCCATCCCATGAACGTTTTATTTCAGATATTGTGTTTTTCAGCCTTAGAACTTAAATTTGGTTCTTTTTATCATGTTTCTGTTTCTCTTCTGTGGTTTCCTTTTAATTCATTATGACCCTATTTTGCTTTTGTAATTGAGCATAGTTAAAAATAGCTGCTTTAATTCTTATATCTGGGTCTTCTTGGGGTTGGTCTTCCTGATTTTTTTTTTTTTTCTTGAGAGAGGGACACGTGTATGTAGGCCAAGTAATTTTGGACTGACCCTGTACATTGTTAACGTTGTGTTGTGGAGACTGGGCTTTTCTACATTCCTCTAAGGATTCTTTTTTCTTTTTTAAAGCAAATGGAAGGTAACTTGTTTGGACTGAAAACGCCAACTCTGTGTCTTGGGTGGCAGCTCAAATCTCAGTTCAGCTCTTTATTTTTAGCATGGTTGCTTGAAGTCTATCTTATGCATATGAGATCGGCCAGAGATTTGGGGCCAGTTGCTATACAGTATTTGAGGCTTCTTGTCTCTGGTTCTCTCCTTTCCAGGATTCCTCCTTCACTTTCCGGCACCTGTGGTTGCCTCAAAACTTGGTCCTCTGGTTCTTCAGTCAAGAAAGATGGAAGGTGTTCTATTTGCATTTTAGCTGGCTCACCTAGCACTGTCTGGAACCTGCCTTCAGACTGGAAGCTTTGAAACAAAATGGAAACTTACACAGAGACTCACCCAGTGCCATTCCCTTCTTCCACCTGTTGGCTCTGCTCCAGAACCTGCCTATCTTGGTTCCTATCTTTAGTGCTCACAGGTAGCTGTTTTTATATTTTGTCCAGAGTTTATATGAAGCAGTGACAGATGTTAGCCTCAGCTATAGTGGGGGTTGAGGAGATAAGATTCTAGATCAGGAGACAAGTACTATGTAACCTGAATCCTGGAGGCAGGTACTTGGAATCCTGTCTATCACAGTGAAGATGAGGAGGGCTCAGTCTGTCCTTATCAAGACTGGGTACATGAATCAAGCCCTTTGAATCAGCCTAGGGATCTTTCTCAATGTGCTGGGTTGGGCTCTCCAGTCTGCCTGTGATGACATAGTGGTTTCCTTAGAGGATGCCTTTTAACTCTGGGAAATTGTAGGATTATGTGTGGAAATAATGAAATCAAATATACATGACAGACAAAGAGCCAAACCCCATCGAAGAGATTGAGAGAGAGAGGACCAATCTAAGGAGTATCTCAGAAGTCAAGGGAGGGAGAGAGTATTTTCAAAACGAGTGAGAAGATGGATACTATTAAGATGGTACCAGAGGACCTGACTGGGTTTGGATACAAGGTGGTACTTTGCAGGCCTTGGATAGAGCAAGGAAGGAGTAGAGTCAGATTTGATGAGTGGAGCATAAGTGGGAGGGGAGGAAGGCAAGTCTGTATCTGTAGATAACACTTTCTAGAAGAGAGAAAGGGAGGAGAGAGAACTGGTGGGGAGTGGACTCCAGTAAAGGTTGTATCATATATATTTTTTTCCTTTAAAATTGGGAAAGACTGGAGCAAGTTTAAATATGTACAGAAAGGAGCCAGCAGGAGGAGAAGGTTAAACCACAGACTAGGAGATGGTCCATAGATGAGGTTCCTGAGAAAGAAGGGATTTAGAGTATGGGTGAAGAGACTGGTTTTGGACAAGACGAAGAACTCTTCTTAAAATGAATTCCATTTAGTATGATTGATTAATTGGGCACACTAACAAATTTTGAAGTTTTTATAGATAAACATTAACAATAGGTTTTTTAAAAAAGTATCACATGGCCCCTTTATCACTGTGAAATCTTTATTTCCTACGTCTAGGCTCCCAGAGTTAGTTGGCCATTATGTTGTTGTTCTTTTGTCAGATTCTTGTCAAACACCTTTCTTTAGCTTTGCCTAATGATTGGAAGTCAAGTTGTTATGACTTGCCCAGCAGGGCCACTTTAACCTTTACTTAACTTGGAGTTTAACTCTTGGCCTTCCTTACTATATAACTTTTACGGCTATGCACCTAAAAGAAACTTAACATCTTTGACCAATTTTTTCCTTGGTTCATAGTCACAATGGGCACAGGGACTAGGAAATATAACACAGGAAGAGAGGGGAGTGTTCTTAAAAAAAAAAAAATGCTACTAAATTTGAGCAATTTCTGGGAAGGATAAAACAGACTTTTCTTTTATGCGAACTTAAAGGCCGTAAGATTATATGAGATCGGGGACATGCAGTTACATTGTGGTTTCTCTGAATGTTCTCAACATAAAAAAATAATGAGAAAACACATAAATTTTGATTAAATTCACTCTTAAGCCACAATAAATATTTTTGGGTGGAGTATAGGCGAATTAAATTTTAAATTAAAAATTTTCCTCTCTTCAGAAATAGATCATTTCCGCCTCCTCAAGATCATTTACCTTAGTTATAGCTGATTAGTGTATTCAACAATGGATGTACTTTTACAATGGAACTTCAGTTTTGTACTGGAGAGGGAGATTCGATTAACAATTTTTTTCCGTAAACATGGTGAGCAAAAATTTTGCTGCATCAACTTTTGTCTTTGAGTAACCTACTTCAGGATAGTCCATGAACTGGTGAGTTTGGTCGTGGGCATTTATCTGTTCTTTTCCTGTAGAAACAGCAGGAGATAGGGGCGTTAAGCATGCGTTAATGATCAGAGAACTTGGCAGCCCTTGATGGAAGATTCTCACGGTATCTCTGAGGGGAAGTTGGTTCCCTCAGTAGGAGTCCCAGCAGAAGAAGATGTTATAGCCTGTGTGCAGGGTTCCCGAGCATGGCAGGCCCATGACTGGAAAGCATTCCTGGCTGCTCTGGGGTGGGGAGGGCTTGGGGTTGAGATGGCTTGGGCATTCAACTTTGTTCCTTATGGATTGCCCACAGTGTCTCCTGATCCTCCTCCTTGGAAATGAGAGAGCTGAATGAATCTTTGGATAGCCATCGATGAGCATGGGTTTATGTGGGGGTGTATGGTCTCAGATTGCCTCCAAACCCCTCTCCATCCTTTCCGCAGTGACGAGAGCTCATCTTCCCTTGGGAGGACTCCCCTGAGAACATACACTTTCTGACAAAAGCCCCCTTGTAGTTAATGAGTTTCAGATAGGGTTTTCTGGAAATTTCCATTCTTTTTTGTCGCCTAGGGCCTCCACTCCTAATTTACTGCTGCTGTCGGTTTACTATTAAGCAGACACTGTCGTGAGGTACACAAATTAGGGTGGAAGTAAGGAAGTGACCCTTGGGTTCTTGTTTAGCCCGCTTCTTCTATAAGCCACATTTTATTCACCATGGGCTTCTAGAGGCCTGGGGTCACTCAGCTGCCTCTTGCTGTTTGCCAACATGGGGCCCTTGGGAAGGCAGTCCAGGCTGAAGACCCTGTAACTGCTGCCGAGATATATTTTTAAATCTACCCAGAGGGCGTTACTGGGAGTTCAACTGTAGCATCTCCCATTTCCTTCTTAGAGCTCTAGAGAGACTAATTCTCCTGCCTCCTAACTCCATCCCCCCATCCTACCAAGCATTTCAGACCTTGGTTTGGGTTTATTGACAACCATGCGTATAATTCATGCAAGACAGGTTACAGTGGAGCGTGTTACCTTTGCCAGTCAAGCATGGCTCAGTAATGCTGCTCCAGATTTCGGCTGGGAAGTAAGTTTTATTGGTGTTTGTGCCTGATGTTTTCCTTGTCCGGAAACCTCCCCATTCCCTTGGTGAGGCTGTTTTGGCAAGCACTATCAGGGAAAATCTACCTTCCCCTTGTCCAGTTTAATAAATGGGTTCCAGGATAAAACAGGCTGTTGTGTAAAGCAGAAGCCCTTGGGGGGAAATGTTTGCTTAAGAGAGTCTGCATTAAAAGTGGCAAGTCGAGATTGCCCCAGTGGGCACTGCAAGCCCAAGCCGAGCCCTGGTGTCGCCAGGCTGATTCTTTGGTGGTGGTGCAGTTAGCTTCCTGGCCTTTCTTTAACTGTGGGATGCTTTGGGGAGGGCGTGCTTCCTATTTAGTGAAGACCATTATGCTTTTTCTGTCCCATTGTTTTCATACTCCCTGAAATGATGGGGGCACTGATGCCATTTGCACTGTTCTTCCTTTCTGGGCTTTCTGTAAGGTCAGGTAGAGGAAGGAGATAAATATTAGCAGGAGAAGTTATTGGGAGCATGGAAAAGGAGGTGGTGGTACCCTAAAAATAGGAATTAGCTCCACGGTGAAGGGCTTTTGGGTAAGGAAGGCAGAATAGAAGCCTTCTCAGTGGTCCAGTGTGGTTGGAGTGGAATGTGGGCCAAGCAGAGAGGTGGGAGATGCGCTTGGTTTTAAGGCCAGGGGCAGGTCCAGGAAAGCTTATAAACCACGCTAGAACGTTGGGATTTATCTGGGAGAGTTTTAAGCTGGGGAGTGAAATGATACAATTTTCATTTTAGAGGGCTTATTCTGGGGATTGAAGTAGAAGTGGCAGGAATGAAGCAGGAAGCACAGGTGGTAAGTTGTCACACGATCTAAGTGAGAAATGATCAGGATCTGAACCAAGGGAGAAAGACAGACTAATGAGGTGGAGGGGTCCTCTTGTCTGGACCTGTGAGTGGTGGATCCAGCATGACATCCAGGTGCCTGGTTTAGGTGAGAAGCAAGTGGTTGTGTCTTTTTTGAAAGTAGGAAACCGAGGAGGAAGAGCAGTTAGGGGGATGGAGTAGAAGATGACTTCTTAGCAAACATTTGTAGAATTGGGTTGACTGGAAACCATAAGCTTTATTCTGAGCCAAGGGCTCCAATGGCATGTACTTATTTTCCTTATAGGAGAGATTTTGGGCCTCACAAAGTGTTACCAGTGAAGATCCACCAGCCTGACCAGTTCATCCCAAGTGAAGAGAGTATGGATCTGCTCACGACGTATAAACAAGATTACAATCCCTATAGTGTCCGTCGAGTGGACCCCATCAAACCTCGGGACAGTAAATATCCATGTGATGACAAGATAGAGTGTCTGCCTACTTATAAAGGTGGGAGCATGCTTGAGGGGCAGGCTAGGGGAAGGATAGACTGAGCCAGTACGCAGGCCAGGTGATGTGTATTATGTGCACACCTCCTTAGTGCAGGGGTCAGGCACCTCCTGTGGGCCAAATCGGGCCTGCAGCCCATTATTGTACAACTGGAGAGCTAAGAATGGTTTTTAAACTTTGATTAAAAAAATTCAAAAGACTATTTCAGGACATGTGAAAAATTATGTAAAATTCGAAATTCAGTGTTCATAAGTATGTTTTGTTGGAACACGGCCATACTTGTTCATTTACGCATTATCTGTGGCTACTTTCATACTGCGGCAGCAGAGTAGCTATGACAGAGACCGTATGGCTTGAAAGGCCTAAGACACTTAATATCTTCCCTTCTCTAGAGAATATTTGCCAATGCCTGCCTTAGCTTGCTGTTGGGCTCCTATACTGGGGAAGCACTTAGATTGAGTGATTCGTTCATCCATTAAAAAATTATGGAAACATAACATACAGACAAAAACTTACATATCATAATTTTACAGACCAATGAATTTTAACCGAACACATCCATGTAAACAGCATCTGGATCAAGAAATATAACACTGATACTCCTATCCAGTCACCCTCCCCACCCAGGATAAAGCCATTTTGCTGACTTTAAATGACATAAATTAGTTTTGAATTTTATATAAATGGGATTGATTCATTCTTTATTGAGCATCTACTACATCCCAGGTATGGTGTTAGGAACTGGAGGAAGCCTATTGACCTGCTGTGACTTTAAAGTCCAGTAGGAAAGACAGGATACGAAGTCGTATGCGTAGTGCAAACAATGTAGCAGTCACACTATGGAGCACAAGCCACAGGCTGAGACCACGGGAACGGCAGGCACGTTTATCAGTAACCCTTCTGCTTATGATGCGCACGGTTTCCCCAGATAATACATGCTGAACTGTTCATGTAACATGTTTGTGGATCTCTAAATGACTGTGATAATTGTTGTTTTTATGTTGTCAAGCCACTTAGGCAAGGGAAGGTGGGGAGGCTTGGGGAATGTAGGAATCTTCCTGAAGCCCTTCCAGGAGCTCTAAATCTATCATTCTAGAAGACTCTGCAAGTGGCTGAGCTTCTCTGCTTCCTCTAGGAACTGGGACTCAGGGCCAAACGGATGTGGGCCTCTCAGCCATCTGGTCTCTGTTCTGCCTTAACATTAGTGTTGTCCTTTTTCATTCTCCCATAGCCACCTTCTGCCAGGCCACATTCTGGACATTATAATACCCCCAAATGGTTCCACCTTTTTGCACCCCAACATCCAGTCCTCTGCTTGCTCGCTTATCTACTCCCACCCTGACAACCCTTGGCCCCGTTAGGACCTCCAGTCCACTGGTGCGTCAACCTTCCTTGTCACCATCAGCCCCTTTTGCGTCTGTCCCCCGTATGACCTCTTACATGTTATATCATTGTGGCCCATCTTTTTACTCCCTTTCTTCTGTCCCTTTGTTGGTTCTTCCTAGCAAAGCCCTAATTCTGCCTTCTCCAAGTCTACACCTGGGCATATACCTGAGCATATCTTCGGTCTGTCAGCTCTTATCCTTTTTCCACAGAAAGGAACCAGGAGGTCTTTCAAAAGTCTTTTTACTCCCTTTCTTCTGTCCCTTTGTTGGTCCTTCCTAGCAAAGCCCTAATTCCGCCTTCTCTAAGTCTACACCTGGGCATATACCTGAGCATATCTTTGGTCTGTCAGCTCTTATCCTTTTTTCCACAGAAAGGAACCAGGAGGTCTTTCAAAAATGGCAATTTGATCTGATCTCTTCTCTGCTTCAGACATCTCAAATGATTATTATAATTCTTAGGATAAAATTCCAAACCTTTACCAACTCCTCTGATGCCTTGCAGATTCTGATGCCTCTTCCCAGTGTTCCTCTGTTCTGCCGCAAGGACCTTCTTTCAGTTCCTTTCCTCCATTTCTTTTCTATATTGGGGCATGTTGCACATGCTATTCCCTCTTTATAGACTCCTCCTCCCTTCCCCAGTCTAGCACTCATCCTTCAGTGAGCAGCAGATATATCATACCCTTCGAGGCCTTTCTAGACCTTCCCCCGTGCTAGGCTCGACTCATCCTGCTAGATGCTCTAAGAGTGTCTTGTACTTCTTTGTTTTGTAATTCATTCATCTCCTTGGCCAGTTTGTAAGCTCCAAGAGGGCAGGAGTCTTTCTTTCTCTTTGCTAGTTATTCAAACAGGCGGGCACCGTAGTAGATGATTTACAAAGGTATGTGGTGGGATGGCACTCTTACTTTCGAAGGTCTGTGGTGGGATGGCACTCTTACTTTCGAAGGGCTCACTCTCCCTTTTCCTCCAGTGTTTTCAGGAAGGCAAGAAATGGGGCACCGCGGACACTGTGCAGGCAGGAAGGAGGCACAAAGCTGGAGTGAGCCCTTACCTCTGATGGGGGAGGGAGTAGGTACTTCCAGCTACAAACACTCCTTTCCTCTACACCCTCCCTAGGGGCCCCCAGATTTATGCATTTTGCAGTAGTTAGAGGCTATTCAGATCAACTGCCTACTAAGCTCAGTTCCCCCTCCCCACTTTGTTCTAGGTGCAAAGAGAGGTCTGGGAGTGAGAAATGCTTCTCACTTACCTTATTGGTTGGTGAGGATATAGCGTAACATTGTTACTTAAAGAAAAGTCCTCCCTATTTTTCCCAGCAAAATATTCCTCAGAATAAACACACAGGAAAAAACTAGTCTAATCCTTTAATCTCTCCCACGTCCAGCTCTTCCATATTCTTTCTCTTTGCTAAATGGTTACATCTAAAACTTCTCTCTGCAAACCAGAATGGAATCATGGCTGAGTTTTCTCTATGGATGAAGTTAAAATTGAGAAAACCCATTCTTCATTTAAGAAAAGATTCTGGCACCTGTTCACTGCTTACCTATTTATACAGAATTAATGAACAAATACAAGTCAAGCATAAACAGAACTGCTCAGAACCAGGCACATACTTAGATGAGGGGAGGGAGGTCCTGGCTACATATGCACTTGGGGTTGGATTTCATAGTTCTTGTCTGAAATTTAGATTTAAAAACAAATCAGTATGTATGCAAAGGAAACATTTGTAGATAGATTTGACCCATAGGTGCCAGTTTGCAACCTACGTGTCTTAATAGTTTTTTTGGAATAAATGTGTACTTACCACATTCTATTAATTTAAGTGATTTATTTGTTCCATTACAAATATATCCCTATGATATATAACGGCTTCCAAAACTGGGCCTTGAATGCCCAACATATATATTTTCAGCATTCAGCCCAGGGGGTGACATTACAAAGGTGTGTTTAGTGAGGAAATATATGAATGAATGGTTCTGGATCATTGTTTACAAGGACTCTGGGTGACACAGTTTGGCATTAGATTTACACAAATCCCCACTCAGATTTACTCTGTGGGTCCTAGCCAAGAGCAGGAGTAAAGCTTTGGAAGACCCACAACATTTACTCTGCCCTTAAGTCAGTCCTGTATAACCTCTTGCATGTGTGAGGAGCCACACCCTTGCCTTATCTTATATTAGAGTATCACCTTTTGATTACTTGTTTGTCTCTTGTGGAAATTTGCTGCTTTAGTAAGTCTTTTCCATAGCAACCTTCATGGTTTTATGGCCATACGTTGATTCTACTTCCAAAGGAAAAGAAAAACAACCAAAGACCAAACTCATTAAAATGTGTGTTTCAGTGGGTGCCATTTATATTATATCTATATATTCCACTTACTATGGTTCTACAGGAAAAATATCCAGACTTTTCCCTTTCTATTCTTATGGTCAGCACCTCTGCTAGGGTCCAGAAAACCACCAGTAAAATATGCTCCAGCAGCATTTGGTTGTAATTTTGACATTTTCAAAACACTGTGCAATTAGGAAGATTGAGAGTGTAATTACTTGATGCTCAGCTTTAGGTTTGCTAGGTTTTTTAAAAAGACACATTATTGAAGGAATCCCTTTTAAAAGAGGTTCTTGCCAATTACCCACATGACACCCTGGCCCTGAAGGGCTTTACTGATGGCTTTTCATGCTTATGAATAGTTTGTCATGTAGAATTCTGAGGTTTTCAGGGTCTTGTGGAGGCTTTTTGTAATATAGCCTGGGTGGAGGAAGTTAGAAGTTTGGATAATAATGTGGTTTCAACTGTATTGTTGGGTATCAGAAATCACATGAGGCAACTTTCAGCTTAGGGACCTGTTTTCTTAACACTTCATCCATCACAAAAGAGGGCCTGAAAAAGCCCTGTCCTACCCACCCCCACGAACCTTGAGGCAGTGTGTAGGCATCTACAGGTAGATGCCCCCATTTCAGTGAGGCTTGAAGTCTGACCAGGAAACATGTGGTTTATATTCAGCAAGATGGTTCCCTCTAAGGCCCCTTAATGCTTTCAAGATGTTGATAGAGCCATTAATGGCTCTTGGAGAAAGATTAGATTTTCAATTAAAATGAAGCCAATTTAAAATAAATAGTTGGTAGTATTATTAGCCTAAAATGAACTTAAGAGTGCCTGGGGGGTAGGGATGTCAGGACTTCTGGAGTGGTAGAGTGAGGAGTGTGGCAAATCCTCTGCTCCAAAAACAACAATAAAATTGGACAAAACAGTAAAAATTAACCATTTTAGGGCTCAGGAAATCAAAGGCATATAACAAATTGAGCAGCAGTTATTCAAGAAAAACTACTAAACCATAGTTATGAACAGTGGGAGTTTGTGGTGTTTTATCTTGGGGATTCCATCACCTCTCCCCTTTCCCCCTCCCGCCCAGTTCCATCTGGGCAGGCTAGGCTGTGAAAAGCAGCAGTTTTGCTGCCAGAGAGGGCTGTCTTGATTTGGAGTAGAGTGCATACCCAGGGGGTTCAATAAAAGTAATAGCATTGTCAATGGAAAAAAAATCAGGAAAGACAACTTCTGCAGCTAGTCTGAGGTTGTAGTACTAGTTGGGGCAAAGAGCAGGCCAGTCAGAAATTTAGC